AACAGGGTTAAGACATTGTGGCTTTGTCCGTATTTGATATTATTGATACTGAGTGTTGTTTTATTTATTTATTTATTTTTTTAGTAAAAATGCTTCCATTATTTCTAGATATTTGAAGCTATTATATTTGTATTGTCAACGAACATGTTTGTGATGGCATTTGGTAGGTCTCCGTTCGTAATTACATGATACTTAATTGAGCTATGGTCAGAGAGCTGTAACATGAGTCTTCTTGCGTGGCAAACTGTACTATTATATACACGTGTTGAAAGCTACGACCAAGAAGCAATTTTGAAAAAAAAAAATCAGACGTTTGTTCATTTGCTCTAAATTTAGATAGTGGACCGTGCGTGGAACCTTTCACAAGCCATAATAGCATATGATAATAATAATATATATATATATATATATATATATATATATATATATACAGAATGAATCGTGCGCATTCTTTTATTCAATCCTTTCTCTCTAAGTTGCTTTGTTTTATGTTTTGGGTTTTTAATCTTCGTGCAAACATTCTTAAGGATATTTTTTCTTTTCCTTCTTTATTTCTTAACATTATTTCCTGATTTTTTTTAACAACCATCTTATTTATTGTTTTTGAGTCAGGCAAACATTTCTCCTTTTCTTTCCTTCATTAATCAAGGACATGACGCAAAAGAGAGAGTAAAAAAAAAATGCAAAAGGAAAAAAAAATTCGAACTTCAAAAGGGAACTTTGGTTAGCTAAGTCTGTCTGTCTGTCTATCTATCTATCTATCTATCTATCTATCTATCTATCTCATAATTCGCATCTATCTATCTATCTATCTATCTATCTCAGATTTCACATCTATCTATCTCAGATTTCACATCCATCTATCTATTTATCTGTCTATTTTAGATTTTACATCTATCTCATATTTCACATCTATCTATCTCAGATTTCTCATTTATCTATCTATCTATCTATCTATCTATCTATCTATCTCAGATTTCACATCTATCTATCTCAGATTTCACATCCATCTATCTATTTATCTGTCTATTTTAGATTTTACATCTATCTCATATTTCATATCTATCTGTCTATCTCAGATTTCTCATTTATCTATCTATCTATCTATCTATCTATCTATCTATCTCAGATTTCACATCTATCTATCTCAGATTTCACATCCATCTATCTATTTATCTGTCTATTTTAGATTTTACATCTATCTCATATTTCATATCTATCTGTCTATCTCAGATTTCTCATTTATCTATCTATCTATCTATCTATCTATCTATCTATCTATCTATCTATCTCAGATTTCATCTATCTATCTCAGATTTCACATCCAGATATCTATTTATCTGTCTATTTTAGATTTTACATCTATCTCATATTTCACATCTATCTATCTCAGATTTCTCATTTATCTATCTATCTATCTATCTATCTATCTATCTATCTCAGATTTCACATCTATCTATCTCAGATTTCACATCCATCTATCTATTTATCTGTCTATTTTAGATTTTACATCTATCTCATATTTCATATCTATCTGTCTATCTCAGATTTTCATTTATCTATCTATCTATCTATCTATCTATCTATCTATCTATCTCAGATTTCATCTATCTATCTCAGATTTCACATCCATCTATCTATTTATCTGTCTATTTTAGATTTTACATCTATCTCATATTTCATATCTATCTGTCTATCTCAGATTTCTCATTTATCTATCTATCTATCTATCTATCTATCTATCTATCTATCTATCTATCTCAGATTTCACATCTATCTATCTCAGATTTCACATCCATCTATCTATTTATCTGTCTATTTTAGATTTTACATCTATCTCATATTTCATATCTATCTGTCTATCTCAGATTTCTCATTTATCTATCTATCTATCTATCTATCTATCTATCTATCTATCTATCTCAGATTTCACATCTATCTATCTCAGATTTCACATCCATCTATCTATTTATCTGTCTATTTTAGATTTTACATCTATCTCATATTTCATATCTATCTGTCTATCTCAGATTTCTCATTTATCTATCTATCTATCTATCTATCTATCTATCTATCTATCTCAGATTTCACATCTATCTATCTCAGATTTCACATCCATCTATCTATTTATCTGTCTATTTTAGATTTTACATCTATCTCATATTTCATATCTATCTGTCTATCAGATTTCTCATTTATCTATCTATCTATCTATCTATTATCTATCTATCTATTTCACATCTATCTATCTCAGATTTCACATCCATCTATCTATTTATCTGTCTATTTTAGATTTTACATCTATCTCATATTTCATATCTATCTGTCTATCTCAGATTTCTCATTTATCTATCTATCTATCTATCTATCTATCTATCTATCTATCTCAGATTTCACATCTATCTATCTCAGATTTCACATCCATCTATCTATTTATCTGTCTATTTTAGATTTTACATCTATCTCATATTTCATATCTATCTGTCTATCTCAGATTTCTCATTTATCTATCTATCTATCTATCTATCTATCTATCTATCTATCTATCTATCTCAGATTTCACATCTATCTATCTCAGATTTCACATCCATCTATCTATTTATCTGTCTATTTTAGATTTTACATCTATCTCATATTTCACATCTATCTGTCTATCTCAGATTTCTCATTTATCTATCTATCTATCTATCTATCTATCTATCTATCTATCTATCTATCTATCTAAGTTTGTTGATACAGAGATTAAAAAATAATCAAAACAATGAGTAAGAGGAAGTAAATGGAAGAATTTTTAAGAAAAGGAGATTTTTTATTCATTTAAAATTCCATTGAAATGTTATTGATTATGAAAACTTGGCAACAGGACTCTCTCTCTCTCTCTCTCTCTCTCTCTCTCTCACACACACACACACGCAGAAAGAAGGAAAGAAAGAGAAAGTGTCAAGATAATGTAAGAAAGTGTAAGAGAGAATGTGCAAAAAACAACAACAAAAAACATGCAAAATAAAAAGGAATGAACGCCGATATCATTGCTTTTACCGTTAATCGTGGTCATGCTTAATATCTTTTCTTTTTTGGGGTCTGAATACATTTCCCACATAAATCTGTCGAAAAGTGAAAGGTACGAACAGCGTTTCGGTCACCAGTAAAGATCACTAATCTTTTTTTGTCTTCGATATTTATGGAGGAATTTAAAAAAATAACAACGTGCGCTCTTTTAATCATTTCTATTTTCTCGGAAATGCAAAAATAGTTGGCATTCGAAAGATTTCAAATTAACGATTCTGCTTGGGGTTTAAAACTTTTGTTGTAGAGTAAATAGTACCCCCCCCCCGTTGGCTATATAAACTAGTCCATCACTATAACAAAATGTTCCAGGACAGCCGTAATGGAGGAAGCCGTTTGGAGTCAGGCGGTCCGCTGCCTGGCTTCGGTTGTCAAGCTGTGTTTGGACAGGGGAGGCTCAGTCGGGAATCTGTCTATGGAGAGAAACACGTCCGAGAAAAACAGACAAGCAATGTAAACGAGCCCACTTTTGCTGAGGCTAGGTAAATTTTGACCAATAGCCCGGGAAGAAACGCTCGGGTTCCCCCACGATAATCTCGACCTTATGTCACAACTCATCTCAGTGTGTGTGTGTGGGGGGGCACTGGGTAAATACCAGCCGTTTAGAGTCAGTCTTCAGAATAATTAATGCAGGGTTTACGGCAAGTAGCTGAAGTATTACTTATAAGCATTACTTATATTATAACCGTTACGAAGCGCGTTATAGAACTTTTTTTCGGCATTCGCGGGGTAAATACTCGAGACAAATATGTGATTGTGCCATTTTGAAAAAGAAAAAAAAAACAAATAATTAAAAACAATCGCAGAATAAAAAAATAGTAGAATATAATTCGATGAGGAAATTTAAAAATAAAAGATCGTTTTGAGATCAACTGGTTTAGAAGATTGGGTTTGTCTTTCAAGAGTAAACTTTTATCATACTTGAAAATTTGCCAGTAGCATATTTTTTTTCAAAGACTTATTCAAGAGAGGAAAGAAGGAAAGAAAGAAAGAAATTAGCCAAGTGTTGCGTCGCTAACTTGCTAATTATTACAAAAGATAGATCGATCGATCGATCTCCGGCAAGGAACAGATACTACAACCGCAGCATCTACGCCGACGAGAAAAAAAAACAAAAACAACAACAAAAAACAACAACAAAAAAAAAAAAAAAAACATTCTCCTCCTCTTCGCCTTCCGGAAGAAAAGTCTATCCAAAAAAGAAAAAAAAATTAATAATAACATTCTCCACCTCTTCGCCTTCCGGAAGGCCATCCAAAAAAAAAAGAATAAAAAAAATAACATTCTCCACCACTTCGCCTTCCGGAAGGCCATCCAAAAAAAAAAAAAAAAAAAATTCTCTACCTCTTCGCCTTCCGGAAGCCCATTCAAAAAAAAAAAAAAAATAATAAAAAAATAACATTCTCCATCTCTTCGCCTTCCGGAAGGCCATCCAAAAAAAAAAACAAACAAAAAAAAAAACATTCTCCATCTCTTTGCCTTCCTGAAGCCCATTCAAAAAAAGGAAAAAAAACAAAAACGATTCGGATTTCTGAATGTTCTGTAAGCAATGATATTATTTATCATTGCCCAAACACCCAGTAACGATATGAAGCCGATTTTCAAATTTTATGCATCACTGAACATTTTACTGCCAATATAAATATAAAATATTGTTCTGCGCCTCGCAGTAATTACAGTTGTTTGCTTGTAAAATCAGTGGAACCAAAACTACTGTGTATATGATCTGTCATGTGCAGGTAAAAGAGATACCAATTTTATTGACTAGCATACGTTCTCTTTACGAGTTCGATAGGTATCTGTGCAGATAAAAAAAGGTAGAACACGGTTTCTAATGTCGGGGTCGTAAATAAGGCTTATCAAAGGACAAAAACGAGCGTGAAAGATAATCAGCGATGCAAGAAAGGATCAAGGAAAGAAATGATGCAAACTTTTACTGACCCGAAAAGTAAACATAACACAGATTTTTGTTTTTACTTGGCTATGGATCTCATAAAACACAAACATTCCGTTAGAACTGATTTTTTTTTTTTAATTTTTGCATTTATTTGATTTTATCAGTTTTTGACTATGTTTGTCGTAGCGAATGCAATTTGCTTGTAAACTTTACAAGCAAGTCAAATCTTTCCAAAACTTTGGAAAGCACAAAAAATAAAAAAAGAAATTAAAGAAATAAAATAAAAAAAAAATGTTACTACGATTTTGGTGAAGCTGAAAATTTCTCGGCCTCACGAAGTAGGGATTTAAAAAAAAAAGATTTGATCTGATTTTAAGAAATAAGCAAAGGCATACTGATAAGTTTACCTTACTATTTTACCATTAGCTGAGAAGAAAAGAATAGATTTATTCCTTTTCCAAGAGCTATAATGTGAGGTAAACGGATTTCCATCCATTTGAACTCGAAACTCTGAATTTGCTGATTTCATTTATCGTAGAGATAACTGTTAGAGCACCTACACATCAGTGCAGTTTAAATTAGGACAACTAAAGACTGATCATTTGTTGGCTGTTGATTGAAATATCTGATTTTAATTAGTAAGGGTTACTGATGAGGAGTAACCAAAACGGAGGTTGGAAATAAGATGGTAATCTTTATAACATCAACAAAATACAATACTCGCCAGCGGCGTCAAGTAGGTAAACCACTGCTAGTGGTGGACTACTTAGACAGCATGTTACCCCCACTTACAATAGTGTTGTGGTAGGATCCACCTAATTTGCATAGTGGAGTACCGACCATATAAATATGGTTGGTACCGGGAAGAGAGTGGGGAGGAATCAAGAGAATCAATCCAGAGACTCTGCCCGACTGCGACTAAGTCAACACATTCTCCAGGAACGGTCTTCCCAAGAATATACAAAAGACTATATGTAAATATTGTGTACCTTTCTTGTTTCAATACATTTTGTTCTAAGTACATTTTGTGTTGTATTATTATTCCATGCATTAGTCAAGTTTCAACAAATAGTGTCCAACGCATTTAGGCAGATTGAGACATACACATTAGCGTTCATAGGTATGGTAGATAACAACAGAAGTGGAACGGCCCTATTGAAACAATTTCTACGTCTGCTGCATAGAAAATTCGTTCACTGTGTTGTCGCAGATAATTTCTCCCACCATAACCTATATTGCGCATTTATCAATCTGCCATTCTTTCATGCATTCAATACTGCTGCTGCATCTGGTTTGATGCTTCTGCTATATATCGCGAGATTCTTGACAAAAGTCAAAGGTGTTGTAACCTAGAAAGGGTTACCGAATGAGGAATATTCAAAACGGAGGTTGGAAATGAAATGGTGATCTTTATAACATCAACAAAATACAATACTCGCCAGCGGCGTGAAGTAGGTAAACCACTGCTAGTGGTGGACTATTTAGACAGCATGTTACCCCCCCCCACACACATACACACTTAGAATAGTGTACTTATGAGGATTGGGACATACTGATTAGTGTTCATAGGTACGATATATATATATATATATATATATATATATATATATATATATATATATATATATAGTGTGATCCACGGACAGATTGTTTCGCTGTTTTACAGCTCTTCAGTGTGGCTTAACTTTCGATTGCTTCAAGCCGGGATCGAAAGCCGACCGTTTTGACATCAGTCAGATATTCTACCCCATCGTCGCACGGCAGAGAAGGAGGGAAATTTTAACTTTTTTTTTCTATACGAAATACGCCAGCGGAGAACTCAATTCGTACTTGAAAAGTAAAATGTAAATATATATATATATATATATAATATATATATATATATATATATATATATATATATATATGCTTTTTATTCTTTCGGATCTGATGAAGCCTTGAATGGTGAAATGCATCATCACATAAATTTACAATCAAATCTATTTCATGAAGCGTTTCCATTTGACAAAATTTAAAACTTTGTCAGGATTCCTATATCCTAATTTAAAAACATATTGCCGACTAGGAAAACGCATGGATAGACCAAAAACAAACCTTTTGTTTCAACCCATTCTGAAGTATTGTATGAGGATTTGCCTTGGATTCATTTCAGAAAAAGATAAATATTTTTTTGCTTTCGAGCCACTCTGATAATGAAAAGAGGATTTGTCTTTAATTCGATACAAAAAATGCGGGTAAATGCATTAACAATTTTTGACTCGAACTAAGGATTGTAAAGAAAAGATTCCAGAATAAATATTAAGTACTAAGATTCATTATTTAAGAATACACACAAATACGCATACACACAAATACACTTACACATATTTTGTTCTTTCATTTTCAGATCTAATGAAGGTTTGAATGGCAAAATGCATTATCAAATCTATTTTCCATCAAATGTATTTCATGAGACGTTTCATTTCTCAAATTTAAAAAAAATCCTGCCTGCTCTTTTATATCCTAATATATATATATAAGTTTCACGCTTTTGCGATCGTCAGACAAACTGATTAATTTTTAAAAATTTTGGATTTATGTAGGTTTGCGTGTATTGGTGTTTTTATGGAAGTAGGAGGAAAAATTGTCGTCATATATATATATATATATATATATATATATATATATATATATATATATAAAGAAATATAGTCTTAAGGTGTGCCATATTTATGGAAATAAAGTGCTCAATATCAGAGATAGAGCGTGTGTAAATATGTGGCCTGTCAATTGCGTCTCTAAGTGTTGACTTCTATATTTTATATATATATATATATATATATATAATAATGTGTGTATATATATATATATATATATATATATATATATATATATATATATATGATAAAATAAGCAACTCCTAAGGAGTCTGCACAGTATCGTATTAACCGGTAGTGTCTTAATATTTCTAAATAAATTCCCAGTGAACAGTCGCCGACCACAATTAAATATTTCATACGTTCTCACGCAATCATCAGGCAGACGGCAAAGTGCTATTTGTGAAAATGCACATTTTATACACTTTTGTCAAGTCTAAACGTACATACCATGCGTACACCAGCCAAACTCATCGAGTGAGGAAATGCACGCCCAACCAAGATGGAAATACCGTAAAATCGCCAAAATCTGGACGAAAAATACAAACGCCAGAAAAAGGTTCACAGGCGGATTGTGAAGGAGCTCGTTATAGATATCGATATTATGAGAAACGGTAGCACCTCAGCCAAAGACCATATTGCTAAAAGAAAAATAGTTCTCAACAATATTGGAACCAAAAATCCTCATAACAGAGAATATAATTGAAATTATATATATATATATATATATATATATATATATGATTGATAAAAGCTAGTTTTATGGTATGCTATATTTATGGGTTAAAGTGCTCAATATCAGGGATAGAGCGTATGTAAATATAAAATGTAAAGGCAACAGTCTATTTCATACTAAACTGGCCTGACGATTACATTTAGTATGAAACAAACTGTCACCTCGGGGTGTTGACTTCAATGTCCATTATATATATATATATATATATATATATATATATATATATATATATAATAGGTTCTGTAGTCAACACTAACACTTGATAAGACTGCAATTTTTGTAGCGATGTTATAACTTGCAATTGTTATAATTTTGAATATATATATATATATATATATATGATGAAATTAAATAATTAGAATTACATAATGAAATATACTATAAAATTGAATGTTCACTTATCTTGTGCCCACTCTGAGTTTTGTGGATTTAAAATCTTCAGGAGATTTGATTATTTATTTATTAATAATGCTCTGGAGATTGAGCACAATATTTACGAAGATTGCGTGTCTTAAAAACGTTACCATGCGGCCATAATCTATGGTGATAGATAGATAGATAGATAGATAGATAGATAGATAGATAGATAGGTCATCTATTCATTTCCACACGAGAGAATTACGAAAATCAGGCGCCGACCCCGAGTATTCTAATACTTAGGAGGCTTATTTAGCAGATCATTATCAATTAGCTCGACCCTCACTGGGTGCCTCATAATTGTATCAAAACCAAATCCTGCGCAGTGAATAGTTTTGCGTTTAATTATGGTGTATTGGTCATCAGTCTGCACTTGTATATCATTAGTCGTGAGTTTGATCCGCACTATGTGCTTCATACTTGTAACTTTGTGACAAACTGAACTAAGCTTAGTAAAAAGAAAAGAATGGGAAGAAGCAGGGGAGAAGATGAAAGCAGAATATTAAATATGCAAACTAAAACAAAACGAATAAAGGGGTTAGGAAAGAGAGACGGGGTGGAGAATAAAGATTCACACCAAACAAGGCGGGAGTGCACTAGCACGCAAGGAGTTACAAAGGACTGAGAACAAGAGTAAAGAAGCATATTTAGGGAAAGGATACAGAGAATGACGGGGAACAAGCTCAGGGTGCTAGATGTCGATTGACATTACACTTGAATATTTGAAGATTATAGTCATTGCGGAAGCAAGTAAGGGGAAGGGCGTTCCACAGACGGGAAGTGCGGGAGAAGAAGCTGTTTGAGTAGAAGAAACGGTTACATTTAACCATTTTGACAGTGAAAGGGTGGGGACAAGATGCCGGCCTGGTAGCTCGCTTAAATTCATGTAGTCTGGGAACCAGTGAAAATAGCTTGTCGGAACAGTTGTCGTAAAAATATTTGTAGAAGAGATAGAGGGAGGCCACGGCACGTCTGTGCGATAGTGATTGTAGACTAGATGTCAGATCAGAAACTATCATCTTGCATATTCGTCTTTGGGTTTTGTCAAGGACCTCGAGACGTACGGCTGGAGGGCCAGATCATATATTTTTTATGTTTGTTTTGTTTTGTTACACGGAATATCAACCCACTGGGTCATTTAATGCCAAAATTTAATTTTTTGGAAAGCATAAGTAATTTATTTACAAAATATACCGTATTTTCCGGCTTATAAGACGCACATTAATATTGGAAAGAAATTTCCAAGAAAAAAGTCATGCTCATACAACAACACATTCACCATGCACCCTTCACATACTGGCACCACGTACTCTTTACATTAATCACCCGTCCGATTTTCTTTGTATAGCAATGACATACTAGTCAAGAGCAGAAGGCTCCCGCCACTGCTAGTAAACAGAGCATGTTTAAGTTTGTGGCTCGGCTCCAAGAAGGTTTATAGTCCTTGAAATACTTGTAACAGCTAAGTACTGGGGTTACATCATATAAAAGGTTGAATTAGATAGCTAACATTATAGTGTAATGACTCAACATACAAATCCACGTCCCTATCAGTGAAGCCAATAAGTTGAACGTCCAAACTTACATGAGTTTCGGTGTTGCCTTACATTCGTCTTGGAAGACACACACACGTATTTTTCAGGGTATTTTTTAGGAAAAAAATGCGTCTTGTAAGCCGGAAAATATTGCCGGTAATTTTTTCCTTACAGAAATGTACTGCTGGTAATTTTTATTACTATGAAAATGTATTGCTGATATTTTTACTATAAATTTTCATAATGTTTTAACAATAGTTTTGGATGGGTAACTATTTGCCTATAGCTGGGACCCTAACAGGTGCTACAACCCCGAGTCACGGTAGATCTGGGAACAAGAGCAATTAAGAGGTGGTTTCAGTCTTCTCAAAACTTCCCGATCAGTGGCCCTACTGCCGGATGTAGTTTATCGTCATAACCATGGCGATAATTTTTCAGAATGAGGTGGATGATTCACACTACATTATTGTATTACGTAGTGTGCTGGAAATTTCTCGGCCAAAAATTATTTTTAAAAATATACAAAGCAAAATAAAAGTTTGAAAAAGAGAAAGAAAGTTAAGCTTTGGTTATTTATTTATCATTGTGAATTTTGATCTGTCTTTGCTTACAGCCACATCCGGTTGAAACACCGGTTTCCGTACGATCAACGAAGTTAAGCAAGCGCAAGTCTGGTCAGTACCTAGATGAATCAGTACTTAGACGGGTGACCGCTTGGGAATAACATGTGCTGTAAGCTTGGATGTGCGGGTAGTGTTATGGATAATGGATCGAAATTGTTAATCGGAGAGCCAAGTACCAATTCCCGTTGATCCCTTTATACTCATTACGTGTAAATACCCGTGGGAAAGGTATGAATCCACTTCTTCTCCCACCAGCAATGGGTTAATTTGTAAGATTTATATCATTAAGACATTATTACCCCCTCACACCACAAAAATTCTTAGAATCTAAAACCTTTTTCTGGTTTTAAATAGCTTGTAATGGGTTGATAAGCCGTAAAAAACGAATCAATCTATCAATCATGACATGTCTATCCATTGATTTATTTATCTGTTAATTCATTGTGAATTTTGTTCTGTAAGACTTACTTTCGACATTAAATGACCCAAACAAGTGTTGCTATGCCATTAAATTAATCAACCAACCTATCATTGAACACATGACACAAGTAGGTATATCAGTGCGCAACCTAAAGGATCAAATTCGACATAATAAATACAGTGGAACGTCGGTTCACAAATTTAAATCGTTCCTGAAGTCCGTTCGTAACCCGAAATGTTCGTAAGCCGAAACTATTTTTCCAATAGGAATCAATGTAGAGAAAAAAGTCACAGTGCTATAAAATTGTAAAAAAAAAAAAAAAAAAAAAAAATAGCAAAACAGACGAATGTATACAAAACGGCGGTCGAGGTTAAATCGGTTCGGCAATGTTGTTCGAGAACCGAAATTTTCTTCGATAACCGAGGCCTTTTCATCTCGAATTTTCTGTTCAAAAACCGATTTGTTCGACATGTGAGAAGTTCGAGAACTGAGGTTGTACTGTATTTATTTTTCCAACACAATATTTTTCCTTGTCAAGTTATTTAATTCAGTAGTTATTACCAGTCACACAGATCGAAAATTCTACTAATGACTGTGTCAGACTGCATACTTATTGGTTGGTTCATATATATATATATATATATATATATATATATATATATATATATATATATATATATATATTGCGTTTATTTAAACAAGGTCCCTTCATAAAATGCATTCAATCGGGTTTTACGAGCGTCTGTTAAAATTTTTGGAAATGAGTTAAATTGAAAAACTTTCTGCGCTGCTTGTAATCTATAATAATATCTTTTGTAGCTCAAGTGGGTCTTTTTTCATACCTCTTTCTTGTTGACCCTTTATGATTTACTTTTAATTATTGTTCTTGTTTTATTCTACTCTCTCGTTCCCCTTGTATATATGTGTGTGAGTGTGCACGCGTGTGTGTGCGTTTATACCAGGTGGCGATTCCGGGGGTCAGGCTTGTCGGGCTCAGCCCGAGTGAGTCAACATTCAAGTATTTCTATTTCAAAGCAACAAATATATTACGTAGTCTGTGATTTTCATTCTTGACTTCAGCTGGATTAAAAAATTAATTTTTTTACTTCATGCCTCAAAACATTATCCGAAATACATTTTAATATTATTAATCATAAAGAAGGAAGAAA